GTTTCATTAATGAAAAATCTTGCCTTGCAAATCTTTAACATTCTTTGAAAAGGTTACTGCTTATGTAGATGAGGGTAGGGGTGTAGAGTTGGTGTGTCTGAATTTTCAGAAAGCATTCAACAAGGTGCCACATAAAAAAATTAGCTCTATAGGTGTGGGGCATAAGTTAGCAAATTGGATAAAAGAATGGCTGGATGAAAGAAAGCAAAGGGTTGTTACAAATTGAGTTCAGTCAAACTGGATTAATGTTACAAGTGTGGTATCTCAGGGCTCAGTCTTAGGACCTTTGCTCTTTTTGATTTACATCAATGACATAGAGTAAGGGATAGTCAATAAATTACTTAAATTTACAGATGATATTAAGGTCTTGGGTGTTGCTGCCAATTTACAAAAGGACTAAGATCATTTAGTGAGTTGGGCAAATAAATGGCAGATGAGTTTTAATTATAATAAATGCAAGATAATGCATGTTGGTTATCATAATTTGAATTATAAGTATAATTTGGATGGGAATAACCTTAACAGTGTTACGAAGGAAAGGGATCTTGATGTAATAGTTGATCAGTCTCTAAAGCCATCCAAGCTGTGTGCTGTTGCTAGTGGTAGGACAAACAGGATTTTAGGTTGTATCTATAGAAATATTGAATACAAGTCTTAAGAGGTTATACTTCATTGTACAAGTCATTGGTTAGGCCACATTTGGAATATCGTGTTCAGTCTTGGGCTCCTTACCTTAGGAAAGACATTGAATTGTTGGAAAGGGTACAAAGAAGGGTTACTGAAATGGTACCTGGAATGGAGGGGTTGTCATATGAGGAGAGGCTGAAATATCTCAAACTATTTTCTCTTGAAAAAGAAGAGTGAGGGGGGATCAAATTGAAGTGTTTAAAATTGTAAAGGGAATTGATAGTGTTGATGTATCATCTTTTTTTTATATTTAACAATGAGAACCGTAGGACTAGGGACCACAAGTATAAATTTTGGCAAGGCAGGACTCATTTTCAGCTAAGACAGTTTCATTTTTCCAACAGGGTGGTTGGCCTTCGGAATGGGTTGCCTTCAGATGTTGTAGAGGCAGTAAATTTAAGAGTTTAAAAAAAAAGCTTGATAAGTATATGAATGAAAAGGGCTGGCTTTAAGATTTTTTATTTTATTTTATTTATTTATTTTTTTAATCATTTTAATGTTGTTTAGAGGATGGAACAGCCGAGATGGACCAATAGGTCCCACATTGTCCCAAAACGTTATATTATGTTAATTTGTCACCTTGTCCATTCTTACGATGACACAACCTGCTGCTGTTCTTAATTTTAAACTACTGGCCAGAGGGAAAGAAGCCAGTCAACAGCACTCTACCACCAACCATCTATGCTAAGGGATTGACTGTCACTCTTATACTACAGCTCAGATATTCAGAACTCTAACACAGGGCTAACCCTCATTCTTTGTGTGTTTTAAAATGTAATATTTTAGAACAAGCCAAGTGATATAAGGCCAACTGATAAGGCTACTTTAATAATGATTTAATGCAAAATTAAAGATATTCCAAAATAAACATGTTTTATAAAATATGCTCTTAGAAATTAAACTGCTTGAAACATTTACAAGCAGTGTTTTAAGTTTAGTTGGTATAGAAAAAAGCATTGCACTAGGATACAGTATGCAACAGTGCTATAATCAAGTCTTTATATCGAAATATAATTTATCTTTTATTTTTAGCTAAACGTAAAAGTACAAGCTGCGTATTTTAATGTCACACTAAACTACGCCCAACCTAACCTTTACATATAATACAGTCTAGAGACTTCTACTATTCCATATAAAGTAGACTTCTACCTTGAAGTTGATGCAAAGTTAACCGCTTAATAAATAATAATAATTAATAATATTAAATAAATTAAGCAATTTATTTATTCAAGCAGGTCTCTCCAGTAATTAAGTAGATACAACAACTAATATTGGCTATTACTAGTATTACGATTATTATTCTAATTTATATTATAACTATAAATTATAATTGTGTTAGGACTACATACATACAGTTAAACAAGTTACAAAGGCAATTTACGAAATCTGCTTTTTGAAAGTTGCTTTCGGTTTGACCGATAAAACAACATGAAATATCACTTTACCATCATATATCATTAAAACTAACCAGTAGTGCTTGGAACTGAATACATATATAAATATAAGCCTTTTCCCTCTCCTCACGCTCTTTTCAGGAACTTCTTAAACTGTAAAGTAAACTGCTCATATCGACCGTCTAGGCTGCTAACATCTTTGATTCCTTTTTTTTAAAAAACAAAACAAACAAAAGCATCAGCTATGGTAAGCAAGATTATTATCAGGAATTGCTTGATTTAATTAAATAGTCACACTTATGGGGCCCTACTATTTCGGAATAAATCGTGAATATCACAATATTAACAAGGGGTGTAATTATTATGCGGACGAAAAGTAAAGTATAATTTACAGGTAAAAATCAATCATCAAATTTATACTACCAAAAATAGGAGCGTAAAAAGCTAGTTAAGAATTTAAAGTATTTCATTGTTAACTGCTTCTTTTCCCCTTAAATATATTTGCGGTTATTACGTCAAAAAATCCTACTTTGAATATTGATAATTAAAGTTGAAATCACAAAACAAATCTCTAAGAAAGATGTTTATTGTGTTGTATACTCTAAGAAATAATTCGGAAACATTTTGATATTTTTAGGCTTCTTAAGTTATATTTCTTAGGTGATACTGAACAGTCCTGGTGTTTTAACTATGGCTTTCTTCGCAGCATTTGATTCTCGCAAATTTATGGTAAATTTTCCGTCAATGGTCTCATTACTTTACTCTTCTATAACTAGTGTAATTTGTTACTAGTACAGTTTTCTTTCCCATTCTCGGATTTAACGGAAATAAATTGTCGTGCTATAATTGTGAAACTTAGGTAATCTCGAAGTCAGAAGCCAGCAGCATGGTTTTATTTGTTATCTGCCTGCATATTATGGCGGTTAATACTTTCTCAGTGCGAGATTGCCCGTACAGTTGTCGCTTTGTTTGTTTGGAATTAAGCACAAAGCTACACAATGGGCTATCTATGCTCTGCCCACCACGGGTATCGAAACCCGGTTTCTAGCGTTCTAAATCCGCAGACATACCGCTGTAACACTGGGGGGGGGGGCACAGTTGTCGCAATTGTGAAGAAAGACCTTTTGTTTTCAGTAATCTTCCCAGATTGTAATTGGCTGAATTTGAGATCGAGGACTGTCATTTCTTGTGTGACAGGTTTCTAGCTTTCAATCTCATTTTTCGTCGAACTGAGAGGAGAAGGTTTCACTCTAACTTCTAAGAAGCTGTGTGCTATTCATTTTTCTGTGTGACTTTGACGACCAGCGGATATCAAATTTGGGTTTAATTATTTTCAGCCCAGTAAACATCCAATTTTAACATTTCTACAAAGTTTTAGTTTAATTTTTATGTCAATAATGCTCTGTTTATCTAATTTCATTGTTGTGCAAAATATACTTAAC